AAACAAAGACTGTAATGAGAGACAAAGAAGGTCATTACATAATGATAAAAGGGTCAAAATAACAAAAGGATATAGTATTTGTAAATATCTGTGCACCCAAAATAGGAGCATTTAAATATATAAAGCGAATACTAACAGATCTACAGGGAGTAACATACAGTGATACAATAATAGTAGGGCACTTTAATACTCCACTTACATCAATGGATAGATACTGCAGACAGAAAATCAATGAGAAAACATCAATATTAAATGCCACATTAGACCAGTTGGACTTAACAGACATACACAGAAAATTGCATCCCAAAGTGACAGAATACACATTCTTCTCAAATGCACATGCAACAGTCTCCAGGATAAATCACAAAACAAGTTAAGCACAAAACAAGTCTTAATACATTTAAGAAAACTGAAATTATATCAAACTTCTTTTCCCACCAAATGGTATGAAACTTGAAATGAACGACAAGAAGAAAACTGGAAAGTAAAACCACAATTATGTAGAGATTAAAGAGCATGCTACTGAATAACCAATGGGTCAAAGAAAAAAATCAAAAGAGAAATCAAAAAATACCTTGAGACAGATGAAAATAGAAATACAACATACCAAAGTTATGAGATGCAGCAAAAACAGTTCTATGAGGGAAATTCATGGCGATAAATGCCTACATTGAGAAACAAAAAATCTGAAATAAACAAACCAACTTTATACTTCTAGGAACTAGAAAAAGAAGAACAAACAAAGCCCAAAGTTAGTATAAGGAAGGACATAAAAATCTGAGTGGAAATAGAGACAAAAAGGCAATAGAAGAGATCAAGAAAACTAAGAGCTGGTGTTTTGAAAAGATAAACATAATTGACAAACCTTTAATGGAATCACCAAGATAAAAAGAGAGAGGACTGAAATAAATAAAATCAGAAATGAAAGAGAAGACATTCTCACAAATACCACAAAAATACAAAGGATAATAAGAAACAACTTGCACAATTATACTATGAAATTGGACAACCTACAAGAAATGGATAAATTTCCAGAAACATACAACCGACCAGGACTGACTCAAGAAGTAGAACATCTGTACAGACTGATTAGTAGTCAGGAGAATGAATTAGTAACCAAAAACCTCCCCAAAACAAGAGTCCAGGACAAGATGACTTCACTGGTGAATTCTACCAAGTATTTAAAGAAGAATTAATGCCAGCTCTTCAGAAAAATAGAAGATGAGGAAACACTTCGACACTCGTGGTCTCAAACAAGGCCAGCATTACCCTGATTCCAAAACCAAACATGGACACCACAAGAGAAGAAAATTACCAGCCACAATCCCTGATGAACGTGGACACAAAAATCCTCGACAAAATATTAGCAAACCAAATTCAAGAATACATCAAAAGGATCATACACCATGATCAAGTGGGATTTATTCCAGGGATACAAGGATGGTTCAACATTCCCAAAGTAATCAATGTAATACATTACATTAACCAAATGAAGATTAAAATTATATGAGCACCTCAACAGATATAGAAAATGCATTTAACAAAATTCAGATTTACTTTACTCTCAACACAGTGGGTATAGAGGGAATGTGCCTCAACATAATAAAGGCCATACATGATAAGGCAAGTGCCAACATCACACACAATGGTGAAAAGCTGAAAGCTTTTCCTCTAAGATCAGGAATCAGACAAGAATGGTCACTCTTGCCAGTTTTATTCAACATAGTATAGGAAGTCCTAGCTAGAGCAATTAGGCCAGAAAAAGAAACAAAAGCATCCAGATTGGAAAGGAAGAAGTAAAACCATCATTGTTTGCAGATGACATGGTGTTATATTACAGAAAACCCTAAAGAATTCACCAAAAATCTGTTTGAACTAATAAACAAATTTGGTAAAGTTACATGATACGAAATCAATATATAAAAATCTGTTGCGTTTCTATAAGCTAATAATGAATTATCAGAAAGAGAAATTAAGAAAACAATCTCATTTACAATTGCATCAAAAGAATAAAATATCTCCATCCAAAGACATGAAAGACCTATATACTGAAAACTATAAGAAAACGATAAAAGAAATTGAAGAAAACACAAACAGAAAGATATTCCATGGTCATGGATTGGAAGAATTGATATTGTTCAAATGTCCATACTACCCACAGCAATCTACAGATTCATAGCAAAACCTTTCAAAATTCCAATGGCATTTTGCACAGAGATAGAGCAAACAATCTCGAAATTGTTTAGAACCACAAGAGTCCAAAAAGTCAAGGCAATCCTAAGGAAGAAGAACAAAGCTGGAGGATTCCTGCTTCCTGATTTCAAACTATATTTCAAAGCTATAGTAATCAAAACAGTATGATATTGGCATGAAAACAGACACATAGAGCCCAGAAATAAACTCACACGTATATGGCCAAGTAATTCATGAGAAAGGAGCCAAGAATATATAGCAGGGAAAGGACAGTCTCTTCAATGAACAACATTGGGAAAACTGGACAGCCGCATGCAAAAGAACGAATCTGGACAAAGCAAAACTAACTCAAAATGGATTAAAGATTCGAACTAAGACCTGAAACCATAAAACTCCAAGAAGAAAACAGAGGGTAAGGTCCTTCACATCAGTCGTGGAGATGATTTTTCAATTTGACGTCAAAAGTAAAGGGCACAAAAATGAAAATAAACAAGTGGGACTACATTAAACTAATAAGCTCCTGCGCATCAAAGGAAACCTTCAACAAACGAGGTTCTCCCTGCCAAATGGGGGAAAACGTCTGCAAATCATATACCTAATTAGGGATTAATATCCGAAATATGTAAAGTACTCATAACTCAATAGCAAAAAAAACAACCCATCTATTTAAAAAATAGCCAGAGGATCTGAACAGACATTTCTCCTAAAAAGCCATCCAGATGGCCGACACGTACATGAAAAGATGCTCAACATCACTAATCATCAGGGAAATGCAAATCAAAACCACAATAAGATGTCACATCACACCTGTTAGAATGCTATCATCAAACAAGAGATAATAAGTACTGAGGAGACTGTGGGAAGAGAGAACCCTTGTGAACTGTTGGTGGAAATGTAAATTGGTGTAGCTACTATAGAAAACAGTGTGGAAGTTCCTTGAAAACTTAAGAAGAGACCTAGCATATGATCCAGGAATTTAACTTCTGGGTATTTAACTGAAGGAAATGAAATCACTATCTCCAAAAGATATCTGTAACCTTATGATCATGGCAACATTGTTTACAATATGCCAGACACGGAAGCAACCATGGAAGCAACCTAAGTGTCCATCGATGGATGAATTAATGAAGAGAAGGTGCTGTATATACACAACGGAATATTACTCAGCCATAAAAAAATGAGGAAATCTTGCCATTTGTGACAGCACGGATGGACCAAAAGCATTATCCTAAGTGAAATGAGGCAGACAGAGAAAGACAAGTACCGCATGATCTCTACTTACCTGTGGAATCTAAAAAAAAAAAAAAACTCATAGATACAGAGAGTGATTGGTGGTTGCAGGAGCCGGGGTGTGGGTGGGGTGGACAACATGGTGAAGGTGGTCAAGAGGTACAGGCTTCCAGTTATAAAATAATTAAGCCAATGTCATGTAATGTATGACATAGTGATTACAGTTTCATTACTATATCATATATGTGAAAGTTGCTAAGTGAGTAGATCTTAAAAGTTCTCATCACAAGGGGAAAAAAATTTGTAATTATGTGTGGTGATAGATATTAACTAGACTTGTTGTGACCATTTAGCAATATATCCAAGTATCAAATCATTACGTTTTATATCTGAAACTTATATAGTATTATATGTCAACTATATCTAAGTAAATAAATAAATATTTTCCTTAGATCCAAGGAACACTGAAGTCTGTTTCATACTGATAATAGCTTCCTCTTCAAGGGTCTCACGCTTTGGAAATTCATTTTGGACTTATGCCTAGAATTAACATTGAGGCCCTTGACCTATTATTTGTATCACTACATTTTTCATTCATGGAGTATCCAATTTAAGTGGGTTCATTTTTACAAGGAATTGTGATATATAAAGACAGGGAATATGATTGTAGAGAAAGAAAACACTGGGAAAAGGGCAAAGGAAACACCCCCAGAAATAAAATACTCTGTTGAATTGAGCAGCACTTTGTTCCTGTGATGGCTTTAGAAAATTCCACAATGTCTTCAACACAGCTCCCTCCAAAAAGTGAAGGCTAATTCCTCTCCCCTTGAGTGTGCTGGGCTTAGTGACTCACTTTTACAGAATAGGCATGGCTGAAGTGACAGTGTGTAATTAAGTCATACAGGGGATGGAGATTTCCTCTACTCTCTTACCAATCCCCAGCTCTGGAGAAATTTAGCTGCCATTCAAGCAATGTGTGGAGAGACCCATGTGGTACAGAACTGAGGTTTCTGCGAAAAGCATGTGAGTGAGCTGTCCTGGAAGCAGGTCCTCCAGCCCAGCCTAGCCACCCAGGAACTGCAGCCTACACTAGCATCCTGACTGCAGCACAGGAGTCTGACTCAGAACTGCCCAGCTAAGCCACTCCCAAATTCCTGACCCATAGAAACTCTGAGAAAATACAGTTTTGTTGCTTTAAGCCAGTATGTTTTGGGGGAAATTTTTCACACAGAAACAAGTGATAAACAAGGTGTTCAAAGACACTAGTCTTACCCAATATTTTAGTTCAGATTTTAAAATTACATTAGTTGGAGAAATATATATATTCATACAAAAACACACACACATATATTTAATGTTGAATAGCAAAAAAAAATAGATTTTTTTATATACAAAGATGTATTTGTGATCCTACTTAGAACTGGTTAATTTGAAAAGTAAGCAAAGAATGTTTCTAAAGCCTCTATTTTCCATACACAGTAAGGCAAATGTTTGGATTTATTGTTCCCTATGTTTTTGTGTTTAAGAGAAAGCAAGTTCAGTGTTAAAAGGTAAGTCATGATATGAATGGAACTTACAGCTACACCTTGGAGAAGGTACCCAGCCTGAACTGGTGCATTTGGCCGTATTTCCTCGGGTGGCAGGATAAAAGCCATTTTTACACTCGTATCTGATTTCATCTTCAGTTCTGTGTTTAATCCTTTCAGGTGTGTAGACACCATTTGGAATATAAGGAGGATCACATGTTACCTCTGAAAAAAAAAGGATATGTGAATAATGTAGAAATCACTACACATTAAAATAAAGTACATGAAAATAAAGAAAGTAGTTATTTTTTTGTCTTTACCACAGCACAGAATGGCACTAAAATGAGCACAGCCTCATATCCTTCCCCTCTATCACTCATTTCCCTCGTTGTATCTCTCATCTGATGTATTTCTGCCTACTGGACTCTTGAATCCTGTTTCTCCAAAGCCATCACATACTTCATGATGTTCCGTATGTGGCAATGAATCCATAATAGATCACTTCGACTATTCTTTTCACTTCCTTCAACTTCCTTGGCTTCTGTAGTTTTCATAAGGACTGGTTACAAATATTCTGAGTCTCTTCTTCCAGAAACTTGGTAGGATTACAAATCCGTGCCCCTTTGAAGTAGACATGGCCATATGACTTGCACAGGACAAGGAAATTAATGTGGAGGTAATATGTTTCCCTTTAGGGAGGAAGTTTTAAAAGCCATTGTGTGAAATTTTATGTTCTCTTCCCCACAGCTGCAGTGATTAAGGAAGGGCATGGAAAGATGATGTCTCTCTCCCCTGATTCTTACAATGGATATAATGAGCAGAGTCCATTCACACCTACATTGGAAGTGAGCATGAATAATAAACTAAAGTTTATTTCCTATTCATACTGAGATTTTGGAATACATTTTTCTTACTGTAGTAAGATAACCTAGTCCAGGGTGTGGAAAACCTTTTACGTAAAGGACCAGATAAAAGATCTCTGTCACAACTACTCAACTCTGCAGTTGGAGCACAAAAGTAGTCATAAGCAATGCATAAACAAATGGGTGTGGCTGTGTTCCAATAAAACATTGTTTACAAAAAAAAACAACCAAAAAAAGAACAGGCTGCTTTTGACCTCTGGGCTCTTGTGTGCTACCCCTTGACCTAGTCTATCCTAATGTATAAAGCTCCTTCTCAGTCCTTTCCATCAACTTTGCTCTATCTCAGCAACGGATCAATTTGCAACATTTCTTTTCTAATAAAATACCATTTTTTTTAACTATTGTAGACATGTAACATAACCATTTATAGTGGTGTCATGTTGTATTTTAGACTAAATCCCGTGATGGACGTTCAGCATTGCCTGAAATCCATTTATATGCCCCCAATTTACTTCCAATTCCACTTCCCAAAGAAAGTACCCCTAGTCTCCTCATTTTCCTTAAGCCACCTAACACAATTGCCTCTTCATCAACAGGTAATAAGTCCCCACATTCACAGAAAACAGTTGAGAGTAAACACGCCCTAGATTTCTCTCCAGAAATCCTTCAACTCTAGCTGTATTTGATCTGGACTTAAGCCTCTCCCTTAACCTTTGATGATAAGGTGCTTTTTTTTTTTTTTTTTGTCGTATTCATTCTAGCTTCTCTAGCCTGTCACTTGCCGTGAATCATGAACCATTGTTGACTCCTTCCCTCTCTCACTGTGTCAACCACTCTCTCTTAAGCTGATATGCAAGCTCCTCCAATGTTCAACTCCTTCTCTCAACCCTGGGTCCAGGTTCAGTGAACGTACAACATTTCCCCTCCCTTTCACAGCCCACATCCTTAAAATACCATCTTACACTTGCTGTCTCCTTTCCCACCTCCCATTTATTCCTCAACCCACTGCTATCTGGCCTCCGACATCTAAATTGTGCCGGCACTAGTCTGAGAAATGTCACCAATATCCTCCAATTTCCAAATCCAGAACTCTCTGTAGTCCCCATGTCACAGTGGCTGGTATGTATCATGGGCTCCTTAATTGTTTGTTGAACTGAAGACACGGAAACCTTCTGTGATATTTGACACTGTTGATCACTGACTTCTTGAAGTTCTCCAATGCCTCACACTCATATTCTCCTTATCTTTGTCTGAACAGCAGTATTTTATCTTACTAATTTCACTTCTAACTGCTCCTCTTCCTCTACTCTACTTAAGTTTTAGGCCCTGCCAGCTTTTCAGGTCTCATCTCCTACCACTTTCCTGCTCACTCTCTGTACTACCAACACTATAGCCTTCTGTCCTGTCTTCACACAGACCAAGCTCATTCCTATCCTCTGCACTACCTATTCTTTATTTCTGAATGATTCTGCTCTGGATCTTCCTATTGATTCTTATCACCACCTCGGAAACTTCTTCCCTGGAGACCCTGCAGGTATTGTATGAGTGGATAGCTGGCCTTTATATTTGATTCCACATGAGTTTTTCCCTGGATTCTACTGTTTTCCTCTTCCCATTTTTTGTGTGATTCAAGACATTTCCATGATAAAAAGCTACCACCGTCATGCTAATCACCTCTTTAGTGACATCCAAATCCATCTATCCAACTGCAGCTTCACAGTGTGGGTCCAGGCATATAATTCAGAGGTGTATCCAACTTTTTATATGTCAAACTAAATCATCATCCTTCTCTCCATAGATGCTTTTCCTCCTGGGTTCAACATTTTAATTTCTGACACAAGAACCTCACAACAGAAGCCTGGAAATCTACCCCACGCTCCTTCCTCCTCATCTCTCTAATATTCAATCAAACATCAAATTCTAAAAAGTTGTAATTATTGTTTACATGTCTCCACCTCTTCATACTATACTTCCACTGTGTATGTTTAGCTCCTAGAGGTATTGCAATAGTCTCTTAATTGATCTTAAATTTATTTTCCATTCCGCCAGACCCAGATTTAATAGATCTGTATTGGTAACACGATAATACACTTATATTAGCAATGAATTAATAGAAATAATAAAAATAATACGTGACCACCTAAACCCAAGTTTTAATAAGATGTCTTCAGTGCTTACTGTTTATTGACACAAACCTCAGATGAACCTTAAATGTGTTCATTTATTTCATTTTATATTTTCTCTCTCACTTCATTCTGCTATATATATCATATTGTCATATACCCCCTGCAGTTTACATATCTGAGTTTTGACTTCGTATTATAACTGAGCTTACTACCAATGTTTAAAGTCAAATGCTAAAAGACATAAACATGTGAGTTTTGCTAACAGACCAGCCAAATAAGATTGGGAGAATTTTGTTAAATTAATTAAGAGTAGAAGAACTTATGGTGATTATTTTCAGGCAGTGGACCTTAATCCAATGATAAGTTTTAATTCTCTACTGTCATAATCTCCATTAAAATAAATGATGATATTAAAATATTGCCAGGACAGGTGCCTCTATTCAAAATAACAATCTTGGAGACTGTCCAAATATGTGGGGCTACATTTTTTCTACTGTTAGAAACAACCATAAAGCATTTGAAATAAGAATAATAATTCAAGGTTAGCACTCTATGGTGTGAATCAGTAGAAAATTCAGTCTGCACAGGGAACAGATGCATTTGGATCAAATGTGGCTTTTAATTAGCAGGTCTAGGTACTTTTAATTATTCCTGTAAATGACATTGTCAGACACTGTCCCTTATGGGATACAGAGACCAAAGTTTTGACAAATCACCCTCAAATAAAACCCCTGACACATACAAATCATAGACCAAATGAAAGAAAATTTAAGTTTTTTATCCAGGATTATTTTCTGTAAATTTCCTTTTATTCTTTAGTTCTAAATTTCTGATAGATTTGGAGAAAACAAGATACAGAGATTTGGAATGCATCATATATCAGCAGGTAGATCCTTCCATTGTACCAGGAAAATAAGAATTTGTGATACATTAGCGGAGGTACAGAGAGTGGAGTTCCTTTTAATAAGAGACTCCCCTACATCTAGTCAAAGTAAAATGCATTTCAATAGTATGAAGCATGTTGTAAGAGAGAGTGCATGCTTCTCTAATTTGGGGCGAACCGCTCTTTGTTTACATTGATCTTTGGTAAACTCTCTTGTGAAAGAAAGTGCCCAATCCCAGTGCATCCCAATTCTGGCATCTGTGTCCCTAAAGAAAGCAGGACCCTGAAGCATACGGTCTTGAATCTTTAAGTCATGACTTCTGACAAAGAAAATGAAAAAGAAATTCTAAAAGGAAAATATTTTATAAATGTGGGATCTTTGGGAGGTGTGTGTGTGTGTGTGTGTGTGTGTGTGTGCCTGGGTACGTGTGTGTGTGTAAATGAGTCACATTTCGAGAAGTAAGCCTAGGAATTGCAGTAACACATATATGAAAAACAGAGATTTCCCATTGTTAAAACAAATATGTGCTAAGCAAGAGTTTTAAGTAGGTGGCTAAGTGACCAAGAAAATAAATAATTAGACGACCTCTATGAAGCAATCATGCTGTCATGAGTCCTATGTCCAAGTAAAATTGAATCCTCAAACTCTTGCTTTGAATTCATTGACCCTGGAAGGATGGTTTATTCTACCGTTTATTCTCAATACAAGACAAGCAGCCTGACATAAAATAAGTGGTTTATAAGTTCTGATGATTGGATGGATAAATTAACTAATTATTTAGGAGATGCTCTGGAAGTAAAACACAAGGCAGAGGTTAATGCCAGAGGACTCGTACACCCACATTCTTGGCTTAGGAACCACGGATGCCATGAAGACAAACAGCCGGACTCCACACACCATCAGCCTAACACGGATCTAATGTGGGTTACCACTGTCTTATGTTTATTAACCTCTTTCTAAAATATTTTCTTAACAATGCCTGAAAGTGGAGGTCACTCAATTGTGTAGGAGGATATATTTTCCTAGGAGCTGCTTGTGGGCTCAATCAAATTTTTAAAAAAAGAATAGAATCAACTCAAAAGTAACTCTAGTTTGTGTAAAAGAGGATCACTAAAACAAGGTTTAAACATGGAATTAGGAATACCATGATTTAAAGTTCAGAGGTCTCTTAAGAGGTCAGCTCTTCTTCCCCCAGGGTATAGCAGAATTTGTAAAGTCACCCTTTAGTAAGGTCCTGTGACCTCGTTCGTATGATACACGGTCACTTGTTTCACTCACTGCAGCAGCCCTCATCAAAAGCAAACTCACTTGTTTTCATAAATGTTTGCAAATATCTCAACACAGTTCTTACCACGCTATAGCTGTATCCTCTTGCAATTCTTCTTATGATATGATTTCTTATACTCCTCAACTATCTACATTCTCTCTTCTAGGGCATGATAGCGTGACACCATCCCTTTAAAATGAGGTATATTAAGCAGAACACAATATTACAGACATAATTTTTGGTGGGTAAAGAACATAGTTGAGATGAACTCTTTGGCTCTGAGGAACATCCTTCATTGTGAAGCCCAAAAGAGTTAATGGTTTCTTTCAGCACCATCATCACTGTTGATTCATATTAGGCCTGTGGTTAATGATATCTCCATTTTCTTCCACTTAATTCCATTGTCAATTCAGGTTTTTTCTCATATGATATTAATATAGTTTACTTCTTAAAGCTAAATGCTGGGCTTTAGAAAACCAATCTAGTTGTTTCAGAAGTGTATATACCTGGGAATTAGGAAGGCTGTTACCGTCCTGGCTCTGATCTAGACTTGTTTTTCGACCATAGACTAACTACTTAATGAGCTTTGAAATTTTCAGCTCCTGTTTATGCCTATCTCCAGAGTGAGAGTTTCATACCAATTAATCTCAAAATGGCCCTAGCATACAAAAAATTTTCAAGATGTATTGTCTTTACAGTAGTTGATGCCTATAAACATTAATACTCCATTATGAGAAAACAATAAACTTCTTAACTATAAGGAATAAATAACTGATAAAATATACAAGAAAAGATATAGAAAAGAAATATAACATTACCTTTACATGAAGGAACTGGACTCCACCCAAATTTAGTGCACGCAGCGTCTCCTCTTTCACTGTATTCAAAACCCTGATTGCATTTATATTGAAATCGTTCATTTTGTTTATAAATTGTCTTCTGAGATATAGAATATCCATTTAAAACTGATGGTACTTTGCAGGAAATTTCTAAATAGAAGAGATTAAATTCCAAAATGTTTGTTATATATTAAAGGACTATGTCCAAGACATAGTTATATAAAGATCAAAATTTTATTTTCATTAGGTAAATTAAGCAACCAAACAAAAGTTCTATTTTGATTTGAATGCTTAATAAATAATTTCTGTTGTTCTTAACATTCATTTTTGAAGGAAGTTAAAATGCTTATTAAAATTATGTTGCTAATCTTATTTGATTTGAGGATAAATTACTCCTCTTGAAATAAATAGTGGCCAGTAACACTCATCAACTGTCTATATAAAATTGAATATAGATATGGGCAGTTTGTGATAAGTATTTTCACTGAGTGACCTGCAAAAATTACACTTTTCTAGTTATTGATCAAAAAGTAATTATAGACAAAACATTTTGTTGTTAAAGAGATTATTTTAACTCATTGTTATTACACCTCCAAAAAGTAACTGGCCTTCTGCTTTGTGCTTTCACCATCCATCCAAGTTTTCTGTCAAAGAAAATTGGCCATTATCTTTGACACCATCATATCTCAAACAGTTTTCCTGGGATTAAAGCAACAATAACATATTTCTCAGATCCTATTCTCCCACCTTTCCAATCTGTTTTCCTGTTTGTAACTTAATGACTTATTTTCTTGATACTTCATTGATCCACTTAAAATCCTTCATTGATTCCCAATTCAGTTTGAATACAAGCCAAATTCTTCACACGGTGTATGGAGCACCTCAGAACCTTGTAGCAGCCTATCTTCATCCATCACTGTCTGATCCCCCGCCTGTGTCCTACACCAGGGCCCCACTGAAAACAATGAGAACAGGGCAGCTAGATGCTCAATGAAGTCTCACAGCATTTGCACCTTCCTCTCCATGAACTTCCTGTGACTGGTGTGCTTTTCCCCTCCTCAACTTCATCCAAAAATTCTCATTCTTCCTTTAAGACTTATATTACGCAATAGTCATTCCAGCAAGGATTCACTAACCACAGAAATTTAGTTGTAAAAAGTAAACCCCATACTTGAATTTCTAGAGTATACAGTATTTACTACACTGAATATAAACATGTTTATCATGATTGACTCGAAGAACTAGTTTTGTCAGAAACAGTTCTTAAGAAGAATGCTTTTTTCTGCATCTCTTCATAGGATAGATTACACTAAGAAAATATAAAAATTTTGGAGGTTTTAGAAAATGTTAACAAATATGGCAGAAATTTCTGCTAAACAACTGTTGGTAAAACAAAGTATGTTGTTTTAAATGTATTGTCCATAACATTTCTTTACAAAACCCCAAATCGTCAGATTGGTCATGATGCACAAGTCAGCAGTATTACAATGAAAGAAATCTTGACTTACACTTTACTATCGAACCTTTTAAAAGACAATGATTGTTTAGTGGATTCACAGCAATATTTATACTAAACCCACGGTGCAAATACAAAACAGAGCCATTTCCTAGAGATATTATTTAAAAACAGAATGTCATCGTGATGCATCAGTGGAAATAAATAATGAATATTTGGCTTTTCAAATTAAAAAAAAAAAAGCTTATTCTGGAGGCCAATATTAAAACTTTTAGTAAAAATTCTTCGCATCTTATTTTAGCCATAAAAGCCCAGGGCAATTAATTATGGTTATAAGCGTAGACTTTCGTGTCAGATAACCTAGGTTTAAATCTTAACTCAACTATGTATGCCGTGATAATTTTGGACATGTGATTTTACTTCTTTGCACCAGTTTCCTCAGTTATGAAATAGAGGTGAAAACAGTGCAGAAATCATACAGTCATTTTGAAGGTAAAATGAGATGATACATGTGAAGAACTTAGATCAATGACCAGGCAATAGTAAGTACTCAGTAAATGGTAGTGATTATTAGTATTATTCAGATTCTTTAGGACACACAATGTTTTGAAATGCATATTTTCATGAGAAAAACTAAATCATTCAAATAATCAAATGAACAGTGAATGTTTCTTACCCACACATCTCGGTTTTTCTCCACTCCAAATACCATTTGTTGAGCAATGTATTTCTTTAGGTCCGTCAAGCATGAAGCCTGAATTACACTCAAACTGTACCACTTGTCCAAAAGTATATTCCTGGTCCAGTTCCAACGCACTACTGATAACTCGCCCATTCTCTGGTTCTGTCACTGGTAAACACTTAACAACTGAAAAAAATAAATATAACTTTTTCTAATAGAACTTGAAAACTTTATCATGAAAAATATGCATATATACATATATTTTATCTATAAAATCATCAGCAAAATAAGATTGGAGGAAATTACTTACATGTTTTGTTTTAAAGAAGCATTTGATATACCTGTTTGCCAGAGATAAATTCTGCTAAGTAAAAAACAATAGTAAGTTTAACTCTGATTCTTTTCTATGAAAGTGGACAAAGAAAATTATGACTTTGAATGACAGTTTATATTTTTGTAGCAACAAACAACTGTTTCTTGAATAATTGAGAAATATAAAGCTTGGGATCATTAAATACAAAATTCCATTTAAGTCCCACTGTAATATAACACTGTATTCCTACAAGGTGTAAAAGCAAACTTTCTGATTATATTTACTTCAACAGAGAAATAGTCTTTAATTTTCTTTCCTCTTCCACATCAGTGTTCAAAGTAATCTGAGTACTTCTTTTGATTCTACTTAATATTATCCAACATTCCTTACGTTATGGTATTCAAACTTTATTTTATAGTAGGATGACCCAAGAAGCTTGTTAAAATGGAAATTCTATGGCTATCTCCCTGCCCTATCACTGCAGATACTGATTCAGTAAGTCTTTAATAACCAAAAATTTCAGTTTTTAACAAACGATCCAGGTAATTCCAATGTAGATGTCCCCTAGAACATTGATCTCCTTCCTCTCATTTCCATAGACAAAAGATCTTCCATTCTCTTGTTTAGGCAACAGGATTTTTGAGTGATCACATTTCTCCTCTACCTCTCCACCTCTTCCTCTTCCTTGTTTCTTTCTTTCTCTCTATCCCGCCCTCCCTCTTTCCTTGCTTTCCTTTCTGCCTCTCTCTCTTCCTCCCGACACCTCAATCTCTCCCTCTCTGCTTACTCCTTTCACCATGGAATGGGGAAAGACTATTCTGATTGATCTCTTTTATTTCCATGATGACTAGAGATTGAGATTACTAACCCAAAATTTGGAAACAGGATCTACATTTCCTCCTTCTAACGGTTTGCTATATTGGTCAACAGGAAAAGGCAGAGCTCTCTCTTATTTCCTGCAGCTTTTCAGTAAGACCAAGACAACAGGAAACCTCTCTTGTCAGGCAAAAGAGGAGAAGTGTCTAAATCATATTCTCCACTTCAGCTGTTATCAGAGAACCCTACATTTGGGTGGTTATTGGGTGAGGGCCTCTTCATTAATAAAGCTGAAATTCAGATCTTCATTTATATAGTGATACTTGTGTCATTTCTAGTGGTTAGAGTCCAAAAAGAAAGAAAAATGAATTTTAGATTTCCTAATCTCTAATACTTTGAATATTACCTCAGATGAGGTATATTTATATTTGATTATTCACACACAAAATAACATAGCAATAGAAAGATCAGATATCCACTCTGTACTATATCAGAAGACACAAAAATAATTTGAGTATGAAATATTTAATGATAGACTTCAAGGATATTTTAATCTAAGACATTTTTAAAATCTTAGATATTTTAAGTATATTATTCTCATCAATCAATTTTACATCTACCTTCACATAAAGGAATATCATTGGTCCATCCATCTGCATCACATTCACGGTAATTAATCGTACCTAGAAGCTGATACCTGAAAACCAAAAATAACAGAATGGTGAGCTAATGTGTCTATATGCGGTTTTAAGTTCGATACCATTCTGAATGTTCAGAAACTCCATTTCAGAAAAATTAACAACATAGGCATTTTCTTCCTTTTCTTTCTTTCTTGAGAAAGGCCCGCAGGCTCTCAGGTGCATGGACTTGGAATAATCATAATTCTTGGTTCATGACACAAACCCATAATTGTTTCATGACAGTGCATTTATATTTTTTCATTGAGTCAGTTAACTAGTTACACTTAACAATGTAATAAGTTCCATGAGCTACTACCAAAAACAAAAGCCAAAAGTATGACAATAACCAACAGCTAATCTTACGTTACCCCTTCTCCAGTCTTATTCCGTACTCCCACCCTCCACAATTGTGACATTTTGTGGACACTTTGGGGTTTCTACATAATCAAGGATAGGGCTAGCAAAAATTCCTTAGGTGTGGTTCATTTTCAGCACTTCGATCTCCCCACTTCCATCCTAGAGATTCTTTCCAGAGTGTGGTCATGGAGTCAAGTCTGCTTATACAACCCATTCTGTGTGGAATTTATCTAATTATAGTAACTCATCAAGCTTGTCCTTAAAATCTAAAATGTTCCACTTGAATGAAAGTTTCTTGGGGCAGGTGCAAAACGTGCAGTCATTGCCAGAGGCTTTAGATTAAGGCAAAGCACCCTTCTCGATATTACAGTGGACAGCTGGAGGCAAAAAGCTTGTTCTCAAAAAAATAAATAACGGGAAGGCATTTTGATAACCTATAATTTGATAATTATAAAGAGACATAATTTTGAAAAAGCATCTCTCATAAACTTTTAAATAATTCTACATGGACAAATGTTTCCTTCATCTGCAAACAAGGACTGTTCTATCCATTATACAAATAAAACACAACTTTTCTCCTTCAAAAAATACCTTGTCTTTCTTTCTCTTTTTTTTTGTGAGGAAGGTCAGCCCTGAGCTAACATCTGATCCCAATCCTCCTCTTTTTTTTTGCTGAGGAAGATTGGCCCTGAGCTAATATCCATGCCCTTCTTCCCCCACTTTATATGGGACACCGCCACAGCATGGCTTGACAAGTGATGCGTCTGTGTGCACCCGGGATCCGAACCGGCGAACCCCGGGCCTCCAAAGTGGAGCACACGCACTTAACTGCTTGCACCACCGGGCCGGCCCCTACTTTGCCATTCTTTGATGGTTATTGATTTGCTCCTAATTCTCTAAGGGAAGAAAACGTTTCAATAGATTAAATCAGAGCCACAGAACTTAAAGTCAAACATTTACTCTACACTTCTATCATATAAAGGAACAAAATAATTGGTTATTAAAGGTTATCTGGGTCCTCTACTGGTACCCCCTTCCAACAGAGAAAGCAGATTTCCTGGCTAACATTTTCCATCTACACCAGAGACCCATCCATTCCCCCAAAGCTCTTTCGGTAGTTCTGCAAAATTCTACACAAAACCTCCTACGGCCCATATACCTGAGGGGAAGAGGGAAGAGAGAGAGATTGTCCAAATGTTGGTGGCTGCGGAAAAGTAATGGCTCAGGTTTCTGCAACCCTAGCCACACAAAATACCAGAAAAACTTTTTGCAGAGTGCCTCCTTAAAACTACCTACCTGTAGGATAATAAAAGTGGATACCCATATGGATATCCTGATAAGTAGCTAGTATTCAGCTAAGTAGGTATTCAGCAGAGAGAGGATGGATGGGGATAAAGGATCAAAGAAGATAGGTTGATTGTCAGAAACATGGGTGTAGTAAACCCACTTTACCATTAGATTCCACAACTGAGTCAAAAGATTCACATCCCCTCTGATAGGTAACACACTCCCCCAATAAAATTTTAAAATAGTGTAAAATCCTTCTGCTTCCTGACCTAGCATGGGCCAAGGACTTTCATTTCGCTGACAAATGTCTAGACCCGTTGGAGGCCCAAGCTGAGTGGCGGAGACAGTTACTCCAATATAGCGAGTCTATAACAGAGTTTACCCGTAATTTATAAAAGATGCAGGAGGCAAAGATGAGTTAAGCCGAGTCAGAGTCAGAGGCAAGTATGTCCCTAACTTCTTTACCACATTATAAATATTACTTATAACTGAGATTTAGGGAATCTAGTGGAAGAAGTCTATGAATTTGATCCCTTTTGCTAGGTCAAGGGTGAAACATAAAAAGTCCAGACTAGCCTGGATTGAAAGAGATATTTCGGAGGTGAAGAGCGGAGCAAATTGGCAAATTCATGCCCAGATGGCCTTAATCTATTTGCTCACGTGTAATAGGTCAGCAGTAATGACTGACGGTTGGGCTAAAAATGTCTGAAAAATCTCCCTCAAGTCGTGACCAAAGGGAGACTAAATCATAAGAACTAATACTTATTGAGTGTCTACAATATCCCAAGAACTCTTCTAAGGGTTTCAAGTGTGTGTCTTATTTATTTCTCCTGCCAATTCTATGATGGACCCGATATGTTTCTGCTGCTTCTTTTTTTATTTTTTTTTGTGAGGAAGATCAGCCCTGAGCTAACATCTGTTGCCAATCCTCCTCTCCTTGCTGAGGAAGATTGGCCCTGGGCTAACCTCCATGCCCATCTTCCTCTACCTTATATGTGGCATGTCTGCCACAGCGTAGCTCTACCAGCGGTGAGCATGTCCGTGCCTGGGATTTGAACCTGCGAACCCCGGGTCACCGAGGCAGAGCATGCAAACTCAACTGCTACATCACTAGGCTGGCCCCAATATGTTTCTGCTTTTACAAGTGAGGAAGTAGGAGTGAAGAGATATTTTTAAAAATACATACAGTTATTGAGTGGTGGAATTTTGGAACGCAGGCTTACTACAAAGCCTAAACTTTAAAATATTATATTTTATTGCCTCAAATCAATAAATAAATGAGGAGAGAATAATAAGATTCCGTTTGTAATTTCTCGATCCCGTTTATAATTATGTAATATAAAATTGTAATGATACTGGCTTTCCCACGTATGAAACTTTCTTCAAAATAATTTTTTGACCTGGCTGGGAATAACAGGGAAGAAAGAACACTGGGGGAGTAACATGAAAACCCAGTGAGTGGTTAGAAAACACAGAGTCATCAATTATGAACATAGTAGCATTTTTGGTCCATGTGATAAGAATAATTTGCAGACCGTGGAACCTTAAAGAATGGTAGTTATTATTTCAGTGTAAAAGTCTTTTTTCTCCAAAATTTTATAAGATTTTATCAAAATAGGTACCATGTAATCTAATTTTGTTATCATTCCCACGGTCCCTGACACATTGAATTCCCATAATACTATGCACATAGAGTGTAGTGAGGACTTGTTAGAGCGAACACTTATTTACCTGCATACTATTTTCCCATCATTCTATAAATACACTCTACCAAAGTAATTATAAATCATTTTAATTTTTCAGTGTTGAGGAGATAATATGGTATCTAAATATAATCATTTCCATTAAAGTTTAATTTTTCAGGTTAATTGTGTGCTACTTATAAAAATGCTCATAGAAAAATATACTAACCTTAAAAAATATAAATTAATACAGTTCCTATTTACTATATCAATTACAAATGATCTCAATTATAAACCTCTTTTTATATTGAGGACTTACCCCTCATCACATGTATAAACAACCTTTGCTCCATATGCAAACTCATCTCCTACCGCAAGATGGAAAGAACCAAATGGAGTATCCCCAGGATGTCCACAGGGCTTTTCTAAAATTAAAAAAAAAGGGTGTAATAGCAGTATGTAACAAAGAGAAACACATCTTATGTAGGAGCTCAGGGACAAAGATATTTGATATTATATTAGAGGACAGAATTGAAGATATGGACAAGTGAAAAATGGCAAAGTTATTTTATAATTGAACTTACCTGTATGCTTGTTTTTTGAATTTTGGAAGATTAAAACCCCTTTTTAAGAATAATGATGGTGTATTGTTTTGTATTTAAATGACAATAATGATATAATTCAGTCAGTATTGCTACAATATCAAACATTCAGTATTTTCACAACTAAAGTTTTCGTAAATTTCACAAATGTATGAATTACTTACTCCGACATATCCTTGATGGATAAAGAGCCACCCATTCTCCCTTCCTGCATTCCATTATAATAGTTCCAAGAGTTCTATATCCAGGGCGGCATTTATATGTAGCTTGCGTGCCCTCCGTATATGTTAGTTCAGTCCAGGAACCTGATAGAATTTCTGTTTGTTTTCTTGGAGGAGGTTCGTTACAATCTACAAACAATAAAAGTAAGTGCTTAAAGTAACCATTTAAATATATCCTATGTTTAGGTTATTTTTGCTTTAAAAAATACTTATGTGGTTACAAGTCCAACCAAATGTATGTCTTAACATAAATAAAATATGCATTTTAACTTACATAAATTGAATCTACATAAATTTGTAAGAATAATTTTCCAGAGAAATAGTTATACTTTACTGGATTATTCTTAACTCCTACACTGTGTTCTACTATTTATTCTTTTAATTTGGAAAATGTTTATTGAGCACTATTCTAAGTTCTGAAGAAAAAGCCAATGTATAAAAGAGACATAGAATGGACTGAAATTTCCTATAGTCTCGTGGAAAAAGTCCCAACAATAAAAGGGGCCTGCTTCAGATACACAACTGGTGTCCTCATCAAGACATTTGCCATATGTAGAAGTCACTCAGGGTGAGATTGAAGAGCAGAGGTCAAAACATCAGGGAAGCAAGATCGATCTATCATAGTCTTTTGGGATGGAGGAAGAAGAGACCAATCAAGTTTTTGATAAAAACTCAAGAAGGTCTCTACCTTGAGACTTTTGAATACAGAACTGGAGTGACTCAAAGTAAAAGTGTATCTCAAGCCCATCTGAGTGCAATGCCTGATTGAATCAAGAGAGAGCAGCACTCTTGTCAGTGGGGGTAAATAATATAAACTTTATCATTACATTTATTTCATATAAAATGTATGGCTTTGGATAAAAATTAAAAGAGACACAAAGCAGCAGAAAAACATATAACCAAAAATGTAGCAAAAGTAAATGGCTAGTAGAAGCAAATGCTCAGATCCAGATGTTGGAATTAGCATCAAGGCCTTTAAAATAGCTATTTTAAATATGTTAAAGGAACTATAGGAAAACGATAGATAAAATGAGTAAAAAGATATTCAAAAGAAAATTGATGTTGTAAAAAATCATACATTATACTAAAATTACAAAATAAAATTACAAAATAAATATCAGAAAAAAGGATGCATTGGATAGTCTGAAGAGTCAAATAGATACAGCAGAATACAATCTTAGTAAACTTGAAGAAGATTGATGTAGAAGTACCCAAACTGAAGTATAGAAAGACAAAAGTGTAGACAACAACAACAACAAACAAAACAGAGAATAAGAAATGTGTGAAGCAGAGTCAAGTGATGTAGCAGATATCTAATTGGAGTTCCAAAAGTAGAGGAGAGAATGGACAGAAGAAATATTTGAAGAAATAACAGCTCAATGGTTTCCAAAATTGGTGAAAGATGTCAACTCTAAGATTTGAAAGTTCAGCAAACTCCTAAAAGGGTAGATACAAAGAAAAACTATACTGAGGATTTGCTGAAAACTAAAGATAAAAGCAAAATCTTAAAAGCAGACAGAGAAAAGAAAACACATTTCTTTCAGGAGAACAGTAAAAATAACAGTTATGTCTGTAACAGTAACTACCAAAGCCTGAAAATAGAGTCTTGACATTTCTAAAGTGCTGAAAATAAATGGCAGCAGAGAACTCTATGTCCAGTGAAAACATACTTTAAAATGAGGAATAAATACACATTCTTGAACAAACAAAGCAGAGAGAATTCAACAATAGCAGACTCATACCACAAAAAAAAAACCCAAAAAAAACCACTAAAATTCGCTTGGCTGGAGGAAAATGATTCCCGATACATAAGCAAAAGTCTAAGAATGAATGAGCAGAACTGAAGAAAATAACTAGATGGGTTAATAAAAAGATTATTGAAAAATGATAAATAATATGCTATGTATATTTTACCAAAATAAAAAAAGACTATTGACTGTTTAAATCAATAACAATGCTTTGTAGTCCTTCTAACAAATTCAGGAGTAAAATACAAATCAATAATCACAAAAATATCAAAAGATGGCAAATGAAATGAAACTGTTTTAATGTTTTTGCATAGTTTAGAATATTGTGAAAGTATTAATTTAGGGTGGACCATAATAATTTAAGTACGCTTGCTGTAATTGGCAGGGTAATCACTAAAACAATGATATTAAGAGATCTATAAAATAACTAACAGAAACGATATAGAGAGATAGTAAAGAATATTTGATTAATACAAAAAAAGGCAGGAAAGGAGGAATGGAAGACAAAAGAAAAAGAGGACACAAAAAATAAATAGCAATATGTTAGACTTGAACTTAACTGTATCAGTAATTACATTAAATGTAAGTGGATTCACCACTCCAATTAAAATACAAAGATTGCTGGAGGGAAGAAAAACAGAAAATAAAGCTCAAGTATATGCTGATTACTTTTAATAAAATGGGACAGATAAGTTGAAAGTAAATGATGAAAACTGATACACCATGAAAATATTAACCAAAAAAAGATGGTGTTAATACATTAATATCAGGCAAATAATAATTGAAGGTAGACAGTATTAATAGATAAAAGAGGGTCATTTCATACAAAGAAAAGGGCTACTTTAACAGAAAGATATAATAATCCTAAATGTGTATGAGCAGTGATTGGTGGTGCTGGCTCTTACTGACCCACAGGAGGTCATTATACATATCTCTTCCCAGTACAGTTATTCAGCAATGTCATGCTGGTAACTTGAAATGGACCATATTGTGCCTATTTACACCATGGATATCAGCAAACTCTACAAATCAAGGCTTTTTTCTTTCATTTTTTTTTTTTTTATGAATAGTTTGTTGTTACACATTTGCCAGCACGCCACTATGCATAAACTTATTCATATACCTTCAAGATATAACAGAAGTAAAAGGAGAAGTAAACAAATCCACCATCATAGGTTGAGATTTAAACACACTTTTCCCAACATCCAATAGGCAAGAAAATGGAAAAATAAGGTTATAGAAGATGTAAACAACAATATTAACCAAATTGGCTTCTTTGTATTTATAGAACACAAACTTCAACAACTGCAAGATACATATTCATTATGAGTACACATGAAATATTCACAACAGACCATAAGGAAATCTCAACAAATTTCAAAAGATTGAAATCACTCTAAGTATACTCCCTGACCGCTAGACATTGCTAACAGAAAATAACCGGGATATTCTCAAAAGTTTTTAAGTTTAGCAACATTTCTAAATAACTCATGTGTTAAAGAAGAAATCATAGTACAAATTAGAAAATAATTTGAACTGCCACTAACAGAAATATGATACACATCAAAATTTGTGGGATGATACTAAAGCGGTGATTAGAAGGACAATTATAGCTTTATTGCATTAGAAATAAAGAACAGGGGCCGGCCCAGTGGCGTAGCAGTTAAGTTTACGCATTCCGCTTTGGTGGCCCGGGTTTTGCCAGTTTGGATCCTGAGCATGGATCTACTCACCACTCATCAAGCCATGCTGAGATGGTGTCCCACATAGAAGAACTAGAAGGACCTACAACTAGGATATAAACTATGTACTGGGGCTTTGGGGAGAAAAAAGAAAAAGAGGAAGACTGGCAACACGTGTTCGCTTAGGGCCAATCTTCCTCAAAAGAAAAAAAGAAGGAAAGAAAGAAAGAAAGAACAGTTGAGAATCAGTTATCCAAACTTCTAACTCAAGAAGCTCGAAAAAATTAAATTAAACCTAAGGAGAGTAGAAAGCAGCAAATGATTAATGATGAGACCACACATCACTCTCTCGATTCTAAGTGACAATTAAAGCATTTAAGCTGAAGATCCCTAAGCTTGCAGTTGCTCTGTATGAGTATGACCTGTATTTGCATCAATTCTCATCCTTTCTCATGGGGTGGTTGAGACATCAGAAGCAGTGTCTGAGGGTCTGAAATCGTTATCAAGTTCTTGTACTTTCTGATGTACTCCCTCTTCTGTATCACTTCTTGAAGCTAAGTAACCTTGGCACTGGCTAGGTCAACTGTATTATGTGGATTGGATGGACAATCTCAAATTGAAATCCACTCTGGCAGTCTTGCAATTATAAACCACTGGAGATGAAACGGAATAAAGTTGAATCCTTACTTTATTTCCAAACACACACAGACACGTGCACACAAATTCCAGGTAAATTACAGAGTTAGGCTTAAAAAATTGAAAAAAACACACGTATCTACTTCTTTCTCTTATAATTTCTTTAATCGCCTGCTATATCAGATGCTATGTCATTTTTGTAACCCTCTATTATTTATTTGTGCCATCTATCTAAAATCATATTTATTAATCTTTTCAGAAAACTATGAGTAAATAATAAAAACATAAAGTTTAGTGAATAAATTGTAAAAAGAGTATACACACATTAAAATACTTTAACATTAAAAATTCTATTTATGAAAATATAATCCATGCAAAATTTAAAGGAAAATTAACTGCAAAATTATTTTCGACACAAAAGCACTTCTTGCAATAACAAAAGCACTAACACTACCAAAGGAAAAATATCAGAGTATGACAGATCATTTTCTTAAGAATGGCCAATAACATAGCCATTATTAAAAATCAAAGACAAGAAAATTAAATATAAATGACTTTTTTGGTGAATTTCAATGACAAAAATGTAAAGGAAATGACAGTCAATTTTGTAGGAAATGAAGTGATATAAATATTATTAAATAAAATTAGAATTACAAATGACTATAATATTAATAGAAAACAATTTGGTGATATAGATAAAGATCTTAAAAGTGCTCATATAAATTAACAAATAATTTCAATCTAAAAGAAGTATCCTAAAGCAATAATCAAAGATTTGGTGAGCTATTTAGGTATAGGACGCTTATTACAACATTTTTTATAGTAGATAAAATGAGAAACAATTAGAATGCTAAAAAAATATGGATATTGTTAAATTGTGATACAGTCACCTGAGGAAATATTATCTGGCTTTTAAAAATTGTGTTTTGTGGAATAGTTAATAATGTGGGTAAATATTATAACATAAGAGTAAGGGGGGAAGGTAGCACAGACTTTCCGTTTCTAATGAAGTTATGTTAGATCAGGGATCAGAAGGATTAGGTTTACAGCTGACTTTCAGTAG